CAATATCGAGACTGTCGGTGACTTTATCGATACGGGCGCTCCTTTTGGTGGTGATATACTTATGACGGCATCAATTCTCACGGATATCGTCGATATGAACCCACTGGCTTTTACTGCACAAGAAGGATTAAAAAGGCTTTATATTGAGGTATGATTATCGTAGCCATTCAATCTATGTTTACCTGTGACTTCGATATTGAACACATTTGTTGCACAAATCTTGGTAAAATGCTGCACTGGTTTTTTTTCTTTATGTTTTTCCCTTTTCCTTAACCATGTACATACTGTAATGATTTTGACATATCTACGTTCTTCAACTTGTTACTTTGCACTGTAAGTTTTTTTCCACATTCACATAATTATGCCACTTAATTGTTTTATATATTTTCCATAAGATTTTGATTAGGACCTGTATAAAATGAGAAATTATGACCATTTGATCTAAAATTAATAAAGCAATTATAAAAAAAATACATAACGCATAGTTATTTACATATTTCTTTCTTGCATAATTAAATACCCTAGGGTTTCTTAGAATTGACCAGCAAAGTGTTAGATGACGAAATGGAGACTATGTGGAAAGCCATTCATAATGTAAGTTATCGGATCACGCGTGCTACATTGTTATTGTAGTTGAGTTGCGAGTTGTTTAAGTTATGTAACGGTCATGCCAATATACGTTTGCATTAATTCAAGTGCGCTGATTTTTATTGTTATAGAAGTAATAATATATGTAGTGTTTCAAATGAAAGTATTTGGTTTTGGAAATAGAACTGCTGGACAGAATAAATAAACTCAACTCTTTCCAACAAATTTCAACGCATTTTATTGCAAAATATATTGTTCTCAGATTGTGTGCAAGTATTCCAAATGATTTTCCATAAAACAATATGTAATTTGTGCAAGTGTGTCTATGGCGGCTAGTTTGAAGCTCTCTATCGTGACCCTTACTGCAGATAATAGCAGTAGACGCCGGGGAAAATACAAGCAGTTTTTATTCCTCTGGAAATACCACTCACTAAACAACAGCTTGAGCGGTCTACATAACACGCAACATGAATGCCACCAGTACGAGCAGCAATGCCGCACCCGAAACGTCCTGTGTCACCCACAAGTGACTGGTAATGTCGTTAGCTTCATTACCTATGCATCTAATGATTTGTTTACTACTCGTTTTTTAAACACAACGATGGAAGATGATACAATGTCACTGTAATATATATACACAATTAACGACCGGAAATGCCATGATTTCTATCAATTCCAAACAGAGCGAGAGGAAACGTCTATGCAATGCACGATTCCCGGTATTTAAGCATGAATGTACATTTAATCAATTGGTTGATTGTTTAAATGATTGGTTGATTGTCTAAATGATACTGCTTTGGTTTGCAGGTTCATGGAATTCATAAAGGAGTGTTGCGGGTTTTTAAAGCCATGGACACGTTCAGCAAATCTGTACATGCACTTATACGACAGACAGGTTACACTATCAATGAATCAACAAAGAACATTGGTAAAATAAGCTGACTATTATGTGTGTTACGTAATGTATAATTTGTGGAATTATGATGTGCGTGTTAGTTAAGTCTCTAACTTCTTTTTATAGTGATTAAACTCATTTTAACTTTATAGATACACGTCGTTTAAACATTGTTGCCAATTTGTAGTATTATACCCGAAATTCAATTATTGACCAAGAATATTTCAAATATAAATACATCTGATTTACATCACAGACATGACTTCTGAGTTCATTGGTGGATCCTCAACTAAGAAGCGATCTGTGCATGAAGACATAATTAATAACACATGCATAGAGCTGTCTCAATATTTTACAAAAAAGAATGAAACAGGTAAATACCACGTAAATTTGCTGTGCAGACATTACTAAAGCACTACACCAGTATTCATAGACATTATAGTTGCGCCTCAAATTAACATCTAATTAACTATTCATGGTTGAATTGAATAAATAGTTGTAATTATTGCATTACAATGACTGCATGTGCGTTTTGCTATATTAACCAGAATGTCGGTAGTTATCAATTTTACTATAGCAAACAATACTTTCGTTTTTCATGATTTTGCTAAATTTTACTACAGTTACTATACTCCATAACATATGTTTATTAATAGGATAACAATCCGCATTGCAAACGAATATGCCCAGAATATGCTTCTTTAGATCTTTAGACATGTGTCGTGAATTTGAATCGAATATTTCTACGAGATTGTATAAAAAAAAATTTAAAATGTACCGTCATTAACTGTTCACGGCCTCACAGCAGTATCCCAGTCTCTCCTACCACCGGGGTACACATTTCCAAGTTCATGCGCTCTGCACGGCTGTGTGGTGCATATTTCAAAAGCGCATTGGCTACTTTCTAGACTTTGGAATATTAATAGTGCAATATGTAGCAAGGAAAATGATCCGTGTTATTGACAAACAGATAGGTATGTAAAAGAGTGAGAATTCATGCGACAATCTTCTAAAAATATCACACATTGATCATGATTTAAAACAAATTAGCAATTAATTAGCATCTCCAAATTGGAAGTAAGGCAAATGCCTTATTAAAGTACTTCTTTTAAACTTCTTCTAAAAATATTAATAATCTTCTTTTAAATCCCTTCTGGAGAATATATTGTCATAATAGCAACAATATGTTTGTAATAATAATTGTAATTCCCGAATAAGTTTAGAAATCTATGTATTCCATTAAGGATATTTCTTGAAATGTTATCACCCTAATCATAAGGATGTGTTAACATGATAAGTAATTTGTATTCTAGCTAATATTGTTGTACCTTTCTTTTATTTAGATCGATTGGTTTGTATTAGGTTTATTTATCAAAACCCAGGAGACATGCTGTTACCACCGATACAGATTGGAAAAAGGTGAGTTCATATGTTATTGCACGTTACATAATAATGTCATCCTTCATATTCATATATTACACTTGTATATATCCACCTTCTAACGTTATTTAGATCCAATAAAAGACAGTGGGTAACGTCAGTCACAGCTACACGTAAAATAGAGATGGTCAATTCTAAAGTTGTCTCTGTGAGATTGTTTGGAGATGATGGGAGTGAAATAAGAAGATTAGATGAATCGCTGACATTCAAATATGTCCACCAGAAGGTATTTTGTGCAATATTATTTGCGCCGCGCCACTGCAAGCGAATGTGTATTTACAACAACTAGTCTCGATATTGTATTTTAGTTATATTGCCAGGTTGTTTGAATAAGCCATGGTTGTCCTTAAATGCACTGTAACCCAAAAGCGATGCCAATCTCCAGATGAATATTTATATAAATATTTTTGTCAAATCATCGCACGGCAATCCACTATTCGGAGAGCCAGGACTCACTGTTTCAATCCCTTCTGACAGGACACCATAATTACACACTGAATGACACGAACCTGATTGTTGTGCAATTGGCCATGAGATTCCAACACGCAATCCCTCTGATGTTGGGCGTACTCGCTAATCATAACGTTAACATCATGTTAATTCAAATCACTGACGTCAAATGCATTTATTACTATTATTCAAGCTACCAAACGTATACTAATACTATCTCTTCCATAGCTTTTCTTAAATAGTGTCATCATCCGCTTAACATTCATTCAGACATAAATAAATAAAAAACTACGCCATCATGTACAGTGTCAATTTCATTGAAGGTGGAAAAACAAAGTTTTGTTATGGTGGCCTCAGCTCATATTTCTCTATGGCTGCGTACAACAAATTAAGCTTTGTCTTTCTTTGGTATTAGCTACAAATGGATGACCATTGTGTAGTGCATGAGGGTCAATTTTATTTTTTTAAGTTTCTCTATCACTGTCATTCATCACATACTGTTTTATTTAATTTTCTTTTTTTTAAATATTTTCAACTTTTTATCAATCTTTGTTGTGAAATTAAGCGTGTTGTACTCATACTGCTAACTTCCAAACTTATTTTAATGTTATTAATATATGAATAGGTTGGGTATGATTCGAAATGTGTATCTATGGTCTACGACGACAACACAGGGTGAGTGGATGTTTGTTTGTATATGGATGGTATCCAGACATGGTTATGTTACATCATATATCACAAAAGTATACCGTGCGATGTTTGATAAAGAATGGCTGTATTATCGTTGACTTTTTAAACCAGTTTGTGAGATGTCGTGTTCTAATTGAGATATTCGATTTATGTTAATCAGGATTTGGAGTACAGATGGGTGCTGGGTTGATCGTATCATGCACGAGGACATCACTGTTTGTAAATGCCAGCACCTTGGTAACCTGGCTGTAATAACTGCGATAGGAAAACCATCAGTTGTAAGTGTTCGTCTATTTTTTAGGATAGAAACAATTGCACCTGACAATACCTGACAAACATCGTATCATGGGAATAAATATGCATTCTAAATAAAGTTTTCTATTTTTTATAGCCATTTATAGAAGCCGGGCGCGACGTTATTATGCAAATTGTGTCCTTCCTCGCTATTCTACTTATGGTGATTTCGTTTTTCTTTGTTTGCATTTCACGGTAAGTATTCTACTACGGCTGTGTTCAATATGCACGAACAATGCTTTATGTCCCAGTATCTCTTGTAAGACCACCTCTCGCTGAGATTGTTTTTTTTATAACACAGAACAAACGTGGATCTTTCACAACTCAATCAGATATGAATGTTTGCTGTGTAAATGATATTTAATTAACTATGGCTACATTGGATGGAAACGTTATTAAAAGTGATATGTCTATTTTAAGTTTATCAACAGATCGATACTTTGTTCTGGGAAATGTAATCGTATCACTGGCGATACTACCAGTGACTGTCCTAGTGAACATTAATCTGCAGCCTAGCAAGGTTTGTTTTCACAATCGGCATCTAATTTTACTAGTGAAAACGTGTCATCGGTGGACACGTGAGTAATATATGACGCTTTCTACAATGATAGTGGATTTATTCTGGGGTCTTCATTTCTGATTTACTTTTAAATCTGTAACCTATATTATTATTATTATTATTATTATTATTATTATTATTATTATTATTATTATTATTATTATAACTAACATACATTACAACAAACACATTTCCTAACATAAAATGTACATGTCTAACAGCATGGGTGCAAGATATTGTCTATATTCTGGTACATGGCACTATTGACGAACGCCACATGGATATTAAACCTTGCCGTACAAGAGTTGCTCCGTATGCGTAATTATATACTGAGGAGCAAGTTAGCAAGGTATGTAGTGAATATACTCAACATGCGACATGCAATCTGGATCATTAGTAATGCCATGTGCATAGCACAGAAATACTGAAGAGGTTTGATTTCATAAAATGCCGTTCGCGAGGTTTTCCTATTCGTAAACCCGCAAAAGCAACCTGCAGTGTACATAATGCAAACTGCATTTAATACTTTATGATTTCTGTTCGAAACAGAAAAAACTACATATACCACGAGTTCGACTCAGCTATGAAATTTAAAACCAACCCAACAAAAGTCAAACATCTTAGAGTATTACTAACTCAGTGGATCCCGTGTTGCGTATTACACACGCACACCCGCATGCATGCACGCACAAACACCTTGATAGTTATAGCAAAGTACACATCTATGTCCGTCATTGTAACACAATGTTGTATAAACAACACACTTACATATGACACTAAAATTGGGAGATTTTTTTGGGAGAAATTCCCTACATTGTTTATAAATGTTTCATCATTTAGGATAATATTTCTGACTACTGGATGGCCTGCTCCTATAATTATAATAGTTTTTTGTGTCGAATTAGCCGAGAATAACGGATTAGACGTAAGTTCAGAATCAAGGTGAGTGTATATAATGATATTAATATTGAATGCATTATAATTATGTTAATAAACATCTATATTCGGGTTACCACTATAAATTATTGAGCTTACACTTTTGTTATCATTACCACCATTATCAACGACAAAAACAGAATATATTAGTGTGTGAACACAAATTAATCTTTATCCTAAAAATCTAGATGTATTGAATCAATTGCGGGAAAATATCTTCAGGCCTTAGCGTCCATTTCATTGGTATTATACTTGGTAAGTGTCTTGACGTTCATGCTACATCTATCTATATATTTATTTAATTCGAATTAGTGTATTGTATTGTAATGCACTACATTTAACTGTGAATCAACATGATGACGTAAATTACATCTGAAGTCAGATGTATGTTTCTAATATGAAGTCTTTGTAAAATCAATGTAATTTATTTTGTTCATTTCGGCATTACTGCTGCTATTTCTGTATATTTCTGCTCACAGGTGTCTGGTATAATTACATGTAAATTAGTGTGTGGCTATGAACATGCGATGATGAAGTACGAAGTAGAGGAATTCTTCCAAATAAGGTGAGTATAACATAATTCAGTGATGTTCAATATTGTATATAACATATCAGTGCATGGAACAACATCATTCAGTGTATCAGTGATACACAATCTGTGGGAATATTGTTAATATATAAATAAACTAAAACTCACGACTCTATTCATTTGTTTCAAATCAGCGTATTGTTCGTTTTTCAGGGAGGAAATTCAGTCACTGTTTTTGCTGAAGTTGGCGCTGATGAGTAATTGGGCAATACATATAATTGCAATTACAACAAATAATTTAATTGTTGAGTATATGTTCGCCCTGGCAATAATGTTTGAGGTACGTAATTACAGTGTTGTGAATCAATACTGTCTGGATGAATAAGATGTTCCGTATTCACGTATATCGCACTGTTTACACCACTACGATTTCAACATAATAATAATTGTATATCTATTGCAGGGATCAGTGGTATTTTTGGCACTGTGTGCGACAAATGTAGAGGTAATGAACTTCTCTTTCTGGAATGTTATTTCTATAACCATTACACGACCATGGTGCATACAATTCTCAGCTTTGACGTTTAGGGTGAAATATTACTAGTTGATATTGTAAAGTCATGCTGTTTGTATACTGATCATGGGCTGTATTTTTCCACAAAAAAGGCTATGATATTCAAATTTAGAAAAGCGTTTATTCCACGAGTTGCATTAATGTATAACAGCTACACATTAGCAACTATTAATGTATATGTTTTCGTAATACTTAATATCAGTTAATATTGCGGTGTTCTCAGCACTCACTAGTATGAACTGTTTTCTCATTTGCAGTTGTTGGTCGCTGTTAGAATACGTCTGTGTGGCGGAGAGCTGTACAATAATGCCTTGGAAGAAGTACAACACGTAGATCAGATACGAGCCGATATAAGAAGACGTATAACGCAGTTCTCATCGGCCAAAACGTTAGAAATCAAGAAACGGAAACAGCAACATGCCCTGGAAAGAAAGCATCGAGCAGATGCAATAAACAAAATATTTACACTGGTAATATATTGTGTTACAATAATGCATCTTATGTGGCTATATTGTCCAGTGAGTATAATGTGTGTTTGGTGTGTCGCGTACCGCTATGCAGCGTAATGTTGTTATACATTAATTTATAACTACCTCAACTTGGTATTTCCACTTTATATTTTCACAGGCGACAGCGAAGGAATAATCTTTTTTTATATATCATCTAGATATATCATCTTCAAGACATTGCCTGTCTGTTAGTTTATATTAATTTCACTGAGGAGCAGGGTGACGCCCATCATTGTCCGAGTTTCTCCAAACAGGTTTGGTAGGTCGTTTAGCTGAAAATTTTGTTTAGGTTTGACCAGGTATTTCAAGATTGCATCGGTATTTGGGTCAGCTAGATGATGAGTTTCATGTAAAAGCTGAGGTGCATATTGAATCACGGAAAAACATTTTGAGTAAAACACTGATCATTGAGAATACGTTATTTGAATGTATATAGTCTTTGATTGCATTATATTGCATCTTTCAGAATCATGTTAATAAAAAGCTAAATGTAATAATAATTATTTATTTAATACGAGATGTACAAACATTGTAAACCAATCATTTTTGCTAATGCTTACACTTTCCGACGTGTACTTAACATTTGTGATAGCAGGAATAATAATTTTATATTAAGTCATTTGTAATTGATAGTTTATTAGTTAATGAGCATATTAAAGAACCCTATAACTGTACAAAATTGATGTCATGTGATATGACAGACCATTCTTTAAATTCACATTAATTCAATTACATATGCAATTAATTATTTGTAATATACTATTTGTGTATCATAAGTTCACAAGTATTGAAATACTTAATTAAATAATAATATTTTAATCTTAATGATTGTTTGGTAATAAAAAGCAGAAGTTATGCGCATATTAAAGAAGCGACCAGTTCCTTATTACTCTTCGCAACAACCTGAATATGCGTGTTTTGGCGTCCGCCAACTACGGTGTTACTAATATAATTAAGAGGATTATCAATTGTACTGTATTGTATTATCATTCTAAAATGGTACAGCACATATCTTGTGTAAATTGTAACCCAGTCTTTAGATATTATACAATATTTAAGACTTTGCATTGATGGTGTGGTATAAATTATATTTATTGACTGGCTGTTTGAAGTTCAGTATATTAACCTAATAGCACATTCATGACATCTATATCTATGACAAGTATTATAATAATAATAGTATCGTCAATAAATGTATTGTTAAGCTTCACTTGTTTTTCTTAGAAAGTTATTTACATTAGGTTCCATTCATTTAAAAGCTAATTTGGGGATGATCTATCAAATGTTGTTGGAGAAAGTCAGCTTTTTGGATGACCAACTTTTTTCTGTTGCTGTTAATTTGTTGCTCATTCCTAGCATATTATTTTCTCTAAATTTAATTACAGACTAGTGGTTAATTTCGATGATTCTAAAATAATTCATAACGGTAAACTGTCGGTTATAGATGAAAAAAAGAAAATAACAGTGTGACAAAAAGTGCCGAATGTTCATCGATGAATGGAAATTATCAATTATAAACAAAATGTGAATCCATTTACAGCCAACTTGAAGGTAACCGTGAAATCACTAAGCATATTGAATTCATACAATTTGACCGATACTATATTGAAATTCCAAAAATGGAAATCGATAGTTGCCTCAAACTGAACTGAGGGATTAAAAATGTGAGCTGTAGCTAGAAATGTACAAAATATTATTGAATTGCTGGTAAGTGACACGTTGGTGCTATAATTTGAAATCGGTGAACCATTAATATATAGTTTTTAGATATAACATTTTAACTAAATTTAATTTAACTAAATTTAATCTCGTCTTACTCATGTAGCTTAAAATGACCTATGTTTTAATTGATGGTTTGCATTTATGATAATATATCATTGTTGTTTTTTTCAATTACATTTTCGCTTTCTTTCCAAACCATTAATCATTTACAATCCTGAACATACATAAAGCAATCGTCGACACTGGTAATTTGTTTAAAACCATGTACTGCATTTTTCTCTCACCATATTACCGAACACACGCTAAATAACGTCATTTGTGTAATACCTGTTCATCAATCATGACAAAATGCGTAATTCCTGTAAACCTACGACCCTGGGTCATATGTGCTAGATCTAAAAATTTCAAAAATATTCTAACTATCCCGTAAAAATACGAATCGCGAAGTGAACCTGTTATCAATGACTTGTCAAAGATGTTTATGTTTTCCATTATATAATCGGACGGTTCGTTGAAAATCATTTTTGAAAATAATAATAAAAACAATGTTTAGACCTGACAAGTGGGATTAAGCATTTGAGCTAAAGCTGGTGCGACAGTTTCTATATATGAAACGCTGGTTTTCATACAATGCAAAACGCTAGTATTCGAACACTGCAATTCGTAGTTGTTGAAACCACGGAGCATAAACCGTAAGTATATACTAGGTGTAAAATGTACTTGTGGTTATTTTATAATTTGTTTATTTTGACCCCCCGATTTAATCGTCATTTTGTAAGCTTGTGCTATATGCTAGCCATGTTTTAATTTATTTTTTTGCAATTATGATGATATTTCGAATGTTTTTTCCCAAATATTTCTCTCTGAATCATCTAAACACTAAATATACGTTAAGCAAACTTCAATATCGACAATTTGTTCTAAATCATAAATTGCGTCTTTACCTCATAATAAAACCGATCTCTATCCACCTGTGTGAACCACAACAGCGCCATAGCCAGCTGGTGTACCAGTGATAACAAAATAAATGCGCAAAAATCACCAAAATTCACTATAATGCAGCCATCTTGAATACGGCTTGCTTGCATTCTGAAAAATGTAACAGCAAACATCACATTTGTGAACGATACACATATCATAATTATTCAATTTTTGTGATCATGTAGTTCTATTTAACAATGCAATGTCATCAAACTAGAAAGGTAAAACAACAAAGTCGCCGGTAATCCGACTTTGGGGGAAAGGTTCAGGCTGTAATTTAATTTTCTAGCAATCAACGGGAATTAGACTATCCCGTAGAAAATTGTAAATGGTAGTTGTGGCAGTAAACATGTTCTATAACTTCATTGATTGTAAAAGAAGACTCGCCTGCATGTCTAGCGAGAATAATTTACTGTCAACTTGAAGGTAACCGTGAAACCACTAAGCATATTGAATTCATACAATTTGACCGATACTATATTGAAATTCCAAAAAATGGAAATCGATAGCTGCCTCAAACTGAACTGTGAGATTAAGAATGTGAGCTAAAGCTGGAAATGTACAAAATATTATTGAATTGCTGGTACTTTAATTTGAAATGGGTGAACCATTAGTATATACTGAGTTTTTAGATATAACATTTAATTATTGACAGTATGAACTAAATTTAATTTAACTAAATTTAATCTCGTCTTACCCATGTAGCTTAAAATGACCTATGTTTTAATTGTTGGTTTGCATTTATGGTAATATATCATTGTTGTTTTTTCAATTACATTTTCGCTTTCTTTCCAAACCATTAATCATTTAAAAATCTGAACACACATAAAGCAATCGTCAATACTGGTAATTTGTTCAAAACCATGTACTGCATTTTTCTCTCATCATATTACCGAACACAAGCTAAATAAAGTCATTTGTGTAATACCTGTAACGTCATGAATCATGACAAAATTCGTAATTCCTGTAACCCTACGACCCTGGGTCATAGGTGCTAGATCTAAAAATTTCAAAAATATTCTAACTATCCCGTAAAAATACGAATCGCGAAGTGAACCTGTTATCAATGACTTGTCAAAGATGTTTATGTATAAGCGTGTGCTATATGCCAGCCATGTTTTAATTTATTTTTTTGAAATTATGATGATATGTCGAGTGTTTTTCCCAAATATTTCTCTCTAAATCATCTAAACACTAACTATACGTTAAGCAAACTTCAATATCGACAATTTGTTCTAAATCATGAATTGCATCTTTCCCTCATAATAAAACCGATCTCTACCAAACTGTGTGAACCACAAAAGAGCCATAGCCAGCTGGTGTACCAGTGATAACAAAATAAATGCAAAAAAATCACCAAAATTCACTATAATGCAGCCATCTTGAATATGGCTGGCACAATTTGTACGCACTCTGAAAAAGGAGAATTTCAAGGAATGAGGCATCGTCTCAAATTTGTTATTTTTGCTATTACCACATCAGTAGCAGCATTTATGAGTGTGAAAGAGTTAGCGCCGTACAGCAAATGTATTTTATTATCGTTGACCGCAGTGTGACATCGCGGTCATCGCCGTGGCGTCGTAATTCAACGGTACGTGAATGGCAAATGACATGATACGATAAATCCGCAGTTCACACGAAGGCTATTGCTGCTATAAGCATGGAGGTAAAATGATATAAGCATGAATCAATGCCGCATCACTTCGTAACACGTCACTTATTAACTGCGTTATTAGTTTTGTCGTTACGAGATGCCTATGTAGCTTAGGTCCATGCTCTATAGAGGCAAACCTGATTGGACCGTTACACGCATCGATGTTCACGGAGATTAGTGTTATCAGCTTGTAAATAAACTACCGGTTTCTGTGAACATAGGCTATGCAAGTGATTAACAACACTCATTAGCATAGCCACACTTCCAATTCACACTTGCCCGGGTCAGTGAATTGGGCCTTTATATCGGCGTGGGTCAGTTTCGCATCAAAATTAAAAAATACAATCAAATTTGAACTTGAACAGCAATGAAAAAACAAAACTAAAATAAAACAAGACAAATTTAGCAGCATCCACATTTCAGATTCTTTTTATATTCAATTTTATTATAAAAATAGGAAAAAAACATTAGTCTGCATATTTTAAGAAATGTTGTCTCCATATTGCATTGGTGAACAATGACAATCTCTTTGTTTCACTATAAAAACATTTCGCTAAAATACAATATAATTAGACAAATTCAAATTTATCTGATAAATAATAATTGCAATAATAACTTTATGATTTTGATTATGAATATGTCCCGCCGAGAGATTTCATATGGGTCGAAGCCATTTTGAATTGCATATGTCACGACAAACTTCAAATTATTGAAATATTTGGAAAGAATTATTCAGAAAACTGTCAACACAGGCAACTGCATAATCCATTGACTATCGT